GTGTGTCTGGTGTGTGTGTGTATCTGATGTGTGTGTGTGTGTGTGTGCAGTCTCTCTCGCAGCTGCTGAAGGAGCGGGATGAGCTGCGTGAGGAGCTGCAGAGGATGAGAGCAGATCTGCAGAGAGAGAGACAGGAGCGAGAGCGACAGAGAGAGGAGAACAGCAGGATGATGGAGGAGCGACGGGAGCTGGAGGCCAGAGTCACACTTCTGCAGGAGCGATGTGAGCAGCTGACCTCCAGAGTCAGGTAACACTCATCATCACCAAACACACACGTTTGTTTCTGTGAATTGTGGGGACTTTCCATAGACTTCTATTACTTTTTTACTGACCAAATTATATTTTCTATCCCCTAACCCTAAACCTACCCCTTACAGAAAACCTGTTTGCATTCTTACACTTTCACATAAACATAATTTACTATTTTTAATTTTTTTTTTTCCTCGTGGGGACCGCTAACCCATCACAGAATATATTTACAGTATATATACAAATGTTTCAACATTCTTATATCTAACAGTCTTACATACAAATGTTCTAAACATTCTTATATATATAAAAATGTTAAAATGAAGTTAGGTTTCTGTGACTGGTAGGTTTAGGGTTGGTGTAGGTTAGGTCCATACTGTTGTGAGTTTTAACATTCTATTAAACATTCTTTATTATCATTTTTAAGATGTTGTCTTAGTATATTTCTGTTTTTACCATCTTCGTGGAGACATTAGGACCCCACAAAGTAGTATAAACAAGTAAGTGTGTGTGTGTGTGTGTGCAGTGAACTGGAGCAGAGGAGCAGAGCGGAGCGAGAACAGCAGCAGGACGGAGCAGAGGACGAGCAGAAGAAGAGCAAGAGAAAGACAGAGAACGGTCTGCGTTTGGAGGATCTGGAGGCTCCGCTGCTGCGGTCAGATGCCAGCGACACCAGCGTAGACGAGTAAGTGTGTGTGTGTGTGAGTGTGTGTGTGAATCAGGGGTGGAAGCAGCTGGCAATGTGTTGGACAGACTCCAAACAGTGCTTTGCGTCTTCAGAGATGGTTCAGTTACAGCAGGACAGCGCAGCAGGGTTTGGAGTGTGTGTTATTGTGTGTTACTCTCTTTCTCTCAGCGTGAGGCAGTACATGTGGAATGAGAGCGTGTCTCTCTTCAGGGCTCGTCAGTTTCTGGAGCGGCAGAGCGCTCACATGTTTGACAGACAGGCAGCGCTGCGGATGGCTCACAGCAGTCTGAAGGACCCCACGCCTGGGAGCTCAACACAGCAGCAGCTCTACCACAACCTGCAGCAGGTGTGAGTGTGTGAGTGTGAGCGTGTGTGTGAGAGTGAGTGAGTGTGTGAGTGAGTGTGAGTGAGTGAGTGAGTGTATGTGAGTGTGAGTGAGTGAGTGAGTGTGTGTGTGTGAGTGTGAGTGAGTGAGTGAGTGTGTGTGTGTGAGTGTGAG